TTTCTCGAATATGTCCGTGAACGCATCAAAGCACGAGCTGATCCAGCTGATCTACCGCCACTTGAAGGAGCATGGTTATCGCTCAGCTGCAGATGAGCTACAGAGGCACAGCCCACAGGTCAACATTGTTCACCACACACACACACACACACACGTATCAACTGCAACTGTTACAATGTTTCAAATGCTGCAAACCAAATGTGTGTGTGTGTGTGTGTGTGTGTGTGTGTGTGTGTGTGTGTGTGTGTGTGAGCGAGAGAGAGAGAGAGGGAGAGAGAGAGAGAGAAGAGTATGAGGGGTAGCAAGCTTGTGAAAGATGGTGAAATCAAGCTCAGTGAGACCCACTGAGTGCTGACGTTGAGCTTGGACTACACACTGCTTTCCTTTTCTGGTTTTCCCTGATGAATGAGTCTCTTTCAGCTGCCTTGCTCTTACTGACCCCCTGCTTACCCAATACTCTCCTTTAGTTTGACCTAAGATCTCACCGCCAGCTTTTTCAGATCTTTTCACTGGCAGCATGTACCCATGCCCAATCACCATCAATGTCCTCCCACACCAAAACAAAAAGTTAGACTTATATCTAAATACAGATATAAGTTGACTGACCTTTCTGGCAGTTTCTGGGATATTTCTGACTTGTTCACTTGCTTGAATAGCTTGTTGATTATCTGGCTATGTGGATGGGTAATGGTTTTTTGTTTTTTTTTTCGAACATGTGATTAAAAAAGAGAACTGAGTCAAGAAACATAGAGCCACAAGAGTGAGCTAACAGAGACATAAAGGGTAGGTGTATTTTAAGACTTACAGTTATGTTTCCTGAATATGAGCAGGCAGTTTATGTTGGCTCTCGCAGTTCATTTCTTGCCTTTTAACATATATGCTGAGGTGGATTTTGGTCTCTACAAATGTCCCGCTTTTACATATTTGTAAGGTTTGAGAACATCTCAACAGAGGGACAGGGTCTGTTACAATAGAGACACACATATACAGTCACTTCATGGGTACATCTGTTCAACTGCTTATAAACACAAATATCTAAATATAAGCCAATCACATGTGAGCAACTCAAGATGAAGATGAAGATGCAGAAGTGCATCTCTGAACGCACAGCCAGTTAAACCCTAAAGCAGATGGGCTACGGCAGCAGAAGACCGCAGCATGTGCAACTCCTGTTAATTATGACCAGAAAATTGAAACGTTGTTTCACATATGCTAACTGAACAATCCAAATTATTTTATTGCAACATTCAGCTAGTAGGTAGCTGAATTTGGCAAAATTTAGTAATGATGTGTGGGACACCAACTGATCACAGCCTACCTGAGCATTGTTGCTGTCCCTTTATACCCAAAGTGTACCCATTTCGTGATGGCTACTTCCAGCAGGATAACACACTATGCCGCAAAGCTCAAATAATATGAAAGGGGTTTCTTGAACATCACTGTAGTGAAATGGCCTCCAGTCACCAGATTTCAATCCAATAAAGCATCCTTATGGGGTGTGGTGGAACAGGAGTGTCACACTGTGGATATCCAACCAAAATAATCTGTAGCAACTGTGGGATGATATCATGTTGATATGGCCCAAATTCTCAGAAAAATGTTTCTAGCATCTTGATAAATCTATGCCTGTTCTGCAGGCAAAAGGAAGGAAGTGGTGGGTGAATGTAACAGACAAAAGAGATCAAGCTTATCACACTATGCAGAACGCAAAAGATCTTTTACACTGAAGACAAAGACTTGTTACACAGCATGTGTTATCTGCTTCTACATGCAACATGCAGACATTTGCACAGCGGAAGGAGCAATTGAAAGCAACCAGTTGTACACTTGGTGCTTTTAAGTAGTAGCTATAAACAGACATTGCCCATTAGAAGCATGCCAAGCCACAAAGCTGTCATATTGTTTGTTTGCTTTATATTAAAAGTGTTTATGGTAGCTGAACTGTAATGATAGAAGGGCAGATCAGATGTCTGATTTTTACCGGTAGAATCAGAGTAAATTTCCAGAACATCATTTATAAAATATGATTCGTCCATATCATGAAAATCCTCCCCTCTTTGGGTAAAACTGAGCCTAAACTGGCCTGAATATAAGATAGTTACAGGCAGATAGCAAAACACAAATATAAAAAGAAAATGATTTGGTTTAAATGGTTCAATACTAATGTCAGTTTTCATTATAACATGGCTTTAAAATGCGGTGAAAAGACAGCTGAAAAACCTCTGACACACATATGACTAACAGACTATATAAACTACTTTCCGTTATTAGCCCCTTATCGAAATGCATTGTGTACACAGGTTGAGTTTTCTTTTGAATGCGTGATATTTTTGCGCGGACCGCTGACAGCGTTGCTACGCCCCGCTTACTACATCTCCCATAGTGCATTGCAGCGGTAGAAAAGAATCACATCCTTGGGTCAGAGTTCAAAATGGTAACATGCGGGTTTCAGAAGCTGCAACTCTGAGCATCATGAGGATACTTTTAACATGAAAATACCACTTGCGTTAGCTTAGCCTTAGTTTGATTAATCGTCCTTTTTTCGTTTCTCGAATATGTCCGTGAACGCATCAAAGCACGAGCTGATCCAGCTGATCTACCGCCACTTGAAGGAGCATGGTTATCGCTCAGCTGCAGATGAGCTACAGAGGCACAGCCCACAGGTCAACATTGTTCACCACACACACACACACACACACGTATCAACTGCAACTGTTACAATGTTTCAAATGCTGCTCCTGCTCTGTGCAATAAACCCCCTCTACTCACACCTCATGAAATTCCACAAAAAAACATTTTCTGAAGTGTGCTCAATTAAATCTCACCATGTTTTGTAACAACTAGACTGCTACGTGTTTCTATTTTTCTGCATAAACATAGTTGTGTGTGTATATATAACTTTAAAGATCGTAAGATCCAAGAAATGTATCCTCCCCTTGCTGTGAGCTAAAACGAGCTCAGTGTTAGGACTTATATACCACTTAAAAAAAAAAGCTTGAAAGGCTTTCACCCTAACCCTGACCTCTGTAAGAGGGACTGTGGCTGGAGGAAAGATAGAAAAAGTCAGATTAGTTTTAAAGGTAATCAAGTCCTTGACATAAAAATACCATCAGTTAGACTCTACTCACCAAGAGCTTCCACCCAGATTGGCTCAAATAGGATGTAGCATATGGCCAATTTAAATGAGTGGGGAGACTGTGCGGCCAGGAAAAGCTGTTTGTGGTAAAGTCTAAGAAAAAAGCCCAGAGATTTGTATAAGTGCAGTCATTGCAAATGTAATACAGACCAAGAAGGCTTGTTGATTTTTCTTCCCCAAATGAGAACTAAAGAGGACGTTTTTGAATTTGTAAATATTCCACAAAATGTAGTAGACTTTGTCCTTTTCTGTAAACGTGTTTATTATTCTAGTTTATTCATTTGTAATGAACTCAGGTCCTTCCTGACCACCTTCTTGGGGTCTGCTTTCATTCAAATTTGGCACATAACCATAACAATGCCATGTTTTTATGTCTTTATATGCTGACATCTCCTTTAGACTACTGTACCATGTCCAAGAAATACTCCCGCTGTATATTTCAAACTTCTTAATAAGTTGTAACATTTAATTTTGATTTTCTACAGGGGGAGACCAAAATATCAGTATCGCTACTTGACATCTACACATCATGGTTGAAGTAAGGATGATTTCTTTGTGCTTTTCAGAAGCAAAGCCCACTGGTTAGATGTCTCATTTTGTAATAACCTGGATACTAACTATTTTTTTATTCCTGACAGTAACCCAAAAAATTCAGCAGATCAAGGAAGGACTCCAACTAAAGGTTCATATTTTTCTTTTTCTTTGTTAAATACAAATTAAATTAGAAAGCTGAAGTTGGATCTGAGATACTACATTTGTTTATTTGTGTATATGTGTGTCCTGATCCAGCTGTTCATGCTTACAAAATTCTTAAGCAAGATTTGGAAAGACTTCTGTACATTAGTTTGCTTTGAGTATTTTCATTTTACACCTGTACCCAAACATTCACGCTCGTAACAACCTCCAATCAGATTCAAGATGAGGGTGACAGCTTAGTGAAAAAAACGACATATCAGAGATTGCAGCTCGGTTTGTAGCAGTAAACTCTTTGAGGCTGGAGGTTGGCGTATTTGAATGCATTTTAACACATTTGCACTTTTTATGTTTAGCAAAGTCGACAACATCAAAAAAGAAAAAGGACACAACTGCAAAAAAGGTGAATTTTTATTTTGTTTTAATTTCTTTTCGTGGCAGTTCTTGGACTATACCAACCACGCTAACCCTTCTTTTTCTTTTTTTCCCAGTCCGTTCCAGCAAACAAGAAAAAAACTGAGGGAAAAGCTGCAAAAAAAGTCACAGGGGAGAAGAAATCAAAGAGCCGAACATCAGACAAAGTTGTGACTGCTGGTGCAGATGATTCAGACTCTGACAGCAGTCTGGATGTGGAGAAGTGGAAGAAACTGCTCCAACAGATGACAGGTGAGTCACTGAATGCATTATTCATGGGCGAGCGTGTCAAGGATGAGGTGATGAAAACAATCCTCGAAAAATGAAGAGGGGGTTGTGAGTGCTTTCTGTTAGTGCAGGCGGGTTTGGAGGGAGTTTGGTGACATGAGCTGCGGCTCATTCTGTGTTGAGATGTGTTGAAGAGAAATGCAGATTGAATATTTTCTATAAAAACGATTGTCTGACTAGGTCGTGGTTTCCTCGTGCCTTTCTGTTTAGCACTTTCTGCACCACAGATTTAATTTCACTTCATCATAATACACATACATTACCTGTTAACAGGGGCTTGTACACAACATTTTTTCAGCAGTCCAATCAAAGATGCCCAAACCTCCTTTTTCTCCCCGGCAGTGTCATCCAGCTCTACCAAGGGGACAGTAAAGTGACCAAAGCCAGGCTAGAAATATTTGACTTGCCCAAAACACCTCACTTAAGGAGCAACCAGGGCACATCCAGTTCAGATACCTGAAACATTTCACATCAAATGAACCATATCTACAAAAAGAATCCCATCTGCCCCTCTCAGAAGGAGCGGTTATTTGCACAGTAACTTTAGGATATTTTTCCCTTAATGTAATGAAAATATTTTCAGTTGCAGGCTATCAGCGCACATGTGGGTGAGTTTTATGTTTTTTCCAACAAGTTTGATCTGTTAGAGATCCAATCAGATGAAATTAGGCTTGTTAGAAAAGGGGTCTGAACTAATATAACCTATTTCAGGAAAAGGCTGAATTTTATATTTCAAATAAGATTTTATTGAAATGAGAATCATGCAAAGATACTCTAATGCAGGTTCTGAAGTAAAGTGTAAAGCTGGAAATAAGCAAAATATGTCTCATTTGAGCTAACGTCAAAGCGCGCTATTGAGAGACTGAGATGTAGCATTCAGGCGAGGTGTTCATGGTTGAAGGAGTCTAAACTCAGGTGGAATAAACTGTGGAGGGTTTGGAAAATGTACAAAGTGATGGAAGATGAAGGGAAAACTTGGTCCCTCCACTTAATGAGAGAAAGACAACCACCAGACAGTGCAGCACCACCCATGAACAACCTCACCATGGAAAACAGTGATTTCATCCAAACAGAGCTGTGTACAGTTACTGTTTGCTCACTGTTTATGTTTTCTTTTAGGCATTTGTTCCACCATGCACAGTTTGATGTTTTTACTGGGTTTTCTCTGTCCACAGATGCCGACATAGTCAAGATGAATGCCATCAATGCCCTGGACTCCTCTGCTCCTCAACCCCCGAAAAAGAGAGTCAGGAAACCCCGGGCTAAGGCTCCGGCGAAAACTGGAACCCCAGTTAAACCGAGTAACGGGACAGTGAAACACAATGACGAAGGTGGCGAGAAACATGTGACTGAAAAAAAAACAAAGATGAGCTCGACGGAGAAGAATGTGACAAAAAATGTGACTTCTGTCACCTTAAGCACTCCGAGCCAAAAGCAAAACCTCTCATCTCCAGCGGACAAACAAATAAAAAAGGACAGGGAAACTGCAACTCCCAGTGAACAAACAACTGATGACAGAACATCTGAGCCCAAGAAGAAGAAGAAAAAGAAGGAGAAAATTGCAGACAAGGAGGAAAAGAATGAGACGGGTGAAGATGGAAAAGAGGAATGTGGCGAAGAGACGAGAAAGACCAAAGACACGAAGCAGGAGGAGGCTAAAAAAACTCCAAAGGTGAATAAAAAGGTGAAAGAAACCAAAGATGATGCTGAAAGAAATGAGACAGTCACGACTGAGACAAACACAAGAGGGAACGCTGACGAGAAAACCCTTTCAGAGTCAACGGTACAAGAAAAGAAACAGAAGAAGAAGAAGAAAGAGAAGGCTGGTAGTGAGGGAAGTTTGGCACAGACTGGAAATTCTGAGCAGGTATCTGAGGAAGTGAAAAATAACAGAGAGAGCAAACAGGAAGAAAACAACCAAACCTCAGAGCACATAGCAGAAGAAAAGAAAGCCAAGAAGAAAAAAAAGAGGAAAACAGAGAGTGAGGAAAATTCATTGACATTTGAAAGCATTTCAAAGCAAAAGACTGAAGACATAGAAAATAATACAGAGCAAAAAACTGAAGAAATTGAGACTTTAGAGCAGACGTCTGTAGAAAAGAAGGCAAAGAAGAGGAAAAGGGACTTTCTTAACGGTGAGGAAAATCCAGAACAAGGACTGCGGGAAAAGAAATCAAAGAAGAAGAAAAAAGAAAAAGCTGATGAAGAAAGAGAGCAGGTAGTTGAGGATATAATAGATAATAAGGTAGAGGAAACAACAGAGCAGGTCAAGAGTGTCAAGAAGAAAAAGAAAAATAATCCCGCCAACACAGAGCCGCTGCCTCCACCTGACGTAGAGGCAACGAGTTCTCCAACGGAGAAGAAGAGAAGTGAGTAAACAACCCACAGATAGCTTAAAAACATGTAATTTGATGGTTTTGTAAAATTGCTTTGCATTTGTCCTCAGAAAAAAGCAAATTGAAATCAGCCGACATCCCAGAAATACCTGTAGATTCAATCCAAGACGCCACGGCGACAGAAACCGCCTCAAGCGACTCCCACAAAAAGGTATCACGCTACTTGGAAAACAAATCTCGACGCTACTTGGAAAACAAATCTCGACGCTACTTAGAAAACAAATGTGTCCAGTCTCAACGTTGGCGGATCCTAACCCTCGTGTCCGTCTCTCCACAGAAGAAGAAGAAATCGTCAAAGAATCATCAAGATGTGTGACTCGTCATCCCGCAGACCCAGAGGACGAGGGTCACATCACGTCCTCCGATTTCTGATCATGTACACTGATCATATATCAGTAGTTAGAATATGACTTAAAACTTTAAAGATCTGTCGTTTATATTTTTGGTACATTTTTATCTTTTTATGGGTTTTGGGTTTGTGTTTTTTTACTTAAGTGTTTCTACGGTAGCTGCCATTTTCACGGCACGCACATTTCGTGGTTGTTTTGGGGAACTGATGATCACCTGTTGAAATATTTCTGCCTCATAGTGAAATTCAGATGGGGTTTAATTGAGTAACGTCTGTTTTTATAAACATGAATTCTGTTTCGCTCTCAGGAATTTCCCTCGTGATAATCCTGAGCTAGGTTCTCTAAACCACCTTTCATATTTTTATGCAGATTTAAGTTGTAAAATGAAGTGAAACTGTGTGATTCTGATTAAGAGGTTTACTCCTGTCCTATAGCTGTCTTTTGGTATTTCGTTAAAAAAAATGACACACTTTTTTTTAACCAGATGTATATTTATTCAAATTGACATGTCAGCTGTTCTATCGTGGGAAAGGAGGGGAAATTCTATGTGTGTGATGAGCATTATTTTTTAAAGTTTTAAATGTTTGATATAAATTTTCTTATATAGATTGTATATTATGCTTTTAATACAAATTAAACGCCATAGTTTTTTTTGGTTTTTATCAACTGTACCCGTCCCAAGTCTTACATCTGGTAAATCCTGTTCTTTGGGCACACAAACACTGAACTTCTTACAAATTAAGGGAAAATGCTTGACTCGATGAGCTCTGGAGATTGTGCTGTGCTGTAGGGGACACTCTATATGTTTGTACGTGTCAGGGATCTCGATGAGACAAATTAAGATTATTAAGAGAGATGAGGCCTAAAACTGCCTTTCCGCTGAATCGTGTAACGTTGCGTATGAGGGTGTCAAGTCTTTTTTTTTAAGGAAACCGAGAAAACGACTGTTCCACACCAATCCGTAGGGTGGCGCTAATGCAGCGAAAAGACGTTTGTTTTACCACTGTTAAAGAAGAACGAAGAAGATTGCCCCACTACCATAGCTACACACTAACCATACGATGAGTAACTGTCAGTGAAGTTTTACAGTTGCAGTCGTTACTGGCCGCCAAATGTGGAGGTTGAACAAAGTTCGTCACAAAGCCGGACAACAAGGCGGCAGCTTGGAGGAGCTCAGGCTGAAGAGGCGAGAGAACGAGAAAGGTGTGTCTGCTAAATACCGAGGCTCAGTTTCCCAAACATACTGTAGGTTAACCCTGGTCTTTAACTAAAACCCTGTTTATTCAGTAATGAGCTCATTTTTCCTTTAGCTCTGTGACTATGTTTAGTTTCCACAGAAACTAGCTGGAACTGTAGCATCAACGTAACCTTCATTATTTTATTAATATCTTCCATTAACACTATGTAAAGTTCATTTCACGTTATTTATAATCATTTACTTTATTTTAAACCACTTTCTTCTTAACTGGTAAAAATCACCGGTTGGATAATAAACAGGTCACCTAACTATACCACACGAACCCACAACCAGTCTGAAAAACCTCTCCAGCATCTACTAACCTGACACTTTATTAGGTACACGTTGCTAGAGCCAAGCTGAACCCCCTTGTGTTTTCAGAATTGTCTTAATTCATCATGGCACAGATTCAATAAAGTGCTGGTATTGTTCTATTAGTACTGGTATTGGTATTGTAGCCTCAGCTGTCTATTGCTGTAGGCCATCTACTTCGTGTTGGCGTTCATAGATGCTCTTTTGCATACCTTGGTTGTCATGGGCAGTTATTTGAGCTATTGTGGCCTTCCCATCAGCTCAAACGAGTCAGCCACTCTCCTCTAACATCTAGCTTCAGTAATGCATGTTTCCTCTTTCTCAGACCGTTCTCTGTAAACTCTAGAGATGGTTGTGTTGAAAATTCCAGCAAATCATCCATTTATGGAATACACAGGCCAGCCAATTTGGCACAAACAGCCATTCCACATTCAGAGGCATTTAAATCACTATTCTTCTCCATTTTGATGCTCAGTTTAAACTTCAGCAGGCCATCTTGACCCTGTCTACATGTCTAAATGAACTCAGTTGTTGCTATGTGATTGTCTGATTAGATACTTGTATTTACCAAGCAGTTGAACAAATGTGCATAATAAAGTGTGAAATAGGTTTATGTAATGTGCACATGTAACTTTTTTTTAAAAACTGTATTACAAAGATACAGCTCTTTTTTATGACACCCCTGAGGAACTGTTAGTTAGCTGTTACATCTTCATCTCCAGGTATTTTTACAACACATAAACAGCAAAAACAGTTCCTGTGCAGATATAGGTTTTCGGTCCTACTCGAAATTCAGTGTTTTATTCAAAATTGAGATGTTCCCATGTACAGGTCTTAATATAAAATAGAGCAGTGTTGGTGACATACACTGGCTTAAAATGATTCAAAACCTAAATGGATATGTTAGCATCATCTTTACTTGGAAATTCCTTCAGCTTCTTTATTTCCCCACAGGCATGGCCTCCCCATGGTGGCTTTATCTCAAAAGGACGCATGTTTTGCACAGCATATGTACACTAAACACTCAAGTATGATCACGTATGATCCCTGAAGGTTAAAGTGTTGTGACGTGTCTCTCCCTGAATGCTTTAGCACTGAGACAGGCACGCAGAGACAGGCAGCTGGTGAGCAAGCGACTACTGCTAAATGAAGATGAGGAGCAGCCGGACGTTAGCATGGACACAGCCCCAGGAGGACATGTAAGTATCAGATATTGTGTTGGATCAGGGGTGTCAAACACAAGAATTTCCCAGGTGCCAGAATTCTCCAATCTGGCCCACTTGAAGGCTGGAAGATGTAAAGGAGGGAATCAACTTATAGGCTATGTTTTCAGACGTTTTACATCTTTTACTGCTGATAAAGACCTCCCACGTGACCATTTACGCTAAACTAAAGGAATTAACTAATAGATAAATAATTAAATGACAAAAAAGTTAATGTTTTTTTGACATCTTTTGAAATTTTGGTGGGAAAAAAAGAATATTTTCTGTGAATTAACAAAAACTTTGTTTTATAAGTACAGGACAGTCTGGAAAAAGAGCTACTGGAACCTTTCTGTAATTTTATTTTGCTGAAAAATTGAGACATACTGTTGAAATGTTTCTTCTTTGTCTCATTGTAAGTTTTCTCAGGGATTTAAAGTGTAGCTAAATATATTAACACTGACAGAATGGAGTGTTTTTACTACTCGAGCCAAACTGGGCCGTATGTGACCCACGACGTAAACTGATTTTGACATGCCTGTCTTAGATTATTATTTTTGGTAGGTTCAGTAAAATGATAGATCTGAACTCAGCCTGCCAGTCTCATTTTTCCTCAGGACGTTGTTAGTCTGCTCCACAAACTTCAACACAGCGGGACAGAGAAGGAGGCACACCTGAAGGCCTTGAGTAAAGTTCTGCGCGACCCATCTGCACAGCTCACCTTTATCAAGTATGGGAGTGGCTTCTGTTGCCATATTGGAAGAGACTAAATTACGCTGTCACTTTTAAGTCACTTCCTCATCTTTGTGTGTGAAACTGTTTTCTTTCAGGCACGAGAACAGTATGCATCTGCTGGTCGGCCTCCTCACTGGCTCTAATGCTCAGTGCCGCCTGCAGGCCGTTCGGTGTCTTCACGAGCTCTCTCACTCTTCCCACACTAATGTGGCTCCAGCCTGTCTGCCTGCTACCCCTTACCTGCTCACTTACCTGTCTGGCCCAAGCACTAAGTTTACAGTAAGTCACCATGCAGTGCAGGCAGTTTGTGATATAGTATGACCTAACAATGCAGAAGATTTTTGATTTCCTTATTGTGCGGAAAATTATATGTACACAGGAGCTGTGTCTCTACACACTTGGTAACATGTGTCCAGACAGCGATGTGGTAAGAGAGAAGCTCCTGGCTCAGGGAATCATTCCCGCTCTGGCCAGCTGTATAGAGGTAAACTACGAAGGCTCACTGTCTACACTAATATCCTTACTGTACTGGCGATTCGTAGAATTGTTGCAGTTGAATCCAAATCTACTCAAACATCCGATTCATAGAGAGACAGGAGTGTGACTGCTACACGTCTTTGTAACATGTTACTGTGTATTTGTCCAGAACCAACGACACAACCTTGCAGTAGTGGAAGCTGCGGCGTTCACCCTCTCTCAGCTTCTCCAGGCCAGAGACGCACCTGAGAAGATAATCCCGTAAATATATCAATAATGCACTTCTTCACGTCTTCAGCCTCTGCGTTCCTCATCTCGCAGAAAATGTCAGAGTAGTGTTTTGTTCACATTTAACCCTGTTGTGTTTTTTTTTGTCTTCCTCTGTGTCTGTAGGATAGTCCTGAAGTCTACCTTGCCTTCACACCTGTTATCCGTCCTTACCCCCGACCCACAGTTCGGCCTGGCTCCTGCCATAGAGTGTGCATGGTGTCTCCATTACCTCATATGCAGGTGAGAAGTTTAGGAAAGTGTCCAAAACTTTTTTTGTTTTTTTTGCTGATTTGCTATTGTAGGTAATTACTGAATGTGTTTTGTGCCTTTTATTAGCACAGATGATAACAAAGAGCTGCTGGCTCAGGGTGCCCTGTCACAGTGCAGCTCCTTGTTAGTGTCACTAGGTGGTGCTGTCACCGAGGGAAACAAAGAAGATGGGATTGAGCTGGTATGGAAGTGGATGATCAAATCCACTATTTACTTTTAAAACTTGTTAAGACTTTTTTTTTTTTTTTTTACTTTTAAGCAAACAAATTTGATAATTATCATTGAATTAATAATGTAGATAAGTTCATTTCATGCTGAGCTACCTCCAAAGATAGTAAAATGACTTAATTATTACTAAAAGTCAATTGAAGAATCTAGGAACTAAAACAATACAGCAACATCGCTCATTTGCCTAAGCTTCAGAACAAAGTACAAATAACAACTTTAGTTTTTAATCTGACTTGGATCACAGAAGCTTTTAATGTGTCTTCTTCAGCTCATCTGGCCTCTGTTGAGGTGTGTGGGAAACCTCTTGTCCTCCTGCCCGGAGGAAGACCTGAATGCTCAACTGACTGATGCTCATCTGCCAGCTTCTCTGTGTGCACTTGTTCAAGCCTACCTGCACACCCTGCCAGCCTTGGCCAGAGAGACCGTCTGGGTCCTCAACAACCTCACAGGTACGGCTCTCTTGTTTTAGTCGTCTCTGAATGGGACTGCAGCCATACAGAAGTACACTTCATCATTACTAATAGAACCGTTTTGCAATATATTTTTCCTGCTTTGCTGCAGTTCAGTGTAGATTTGTGCATGAAAACATTGTATTTTTTTGGTGTAACTATTCAATCTGTTCAAATACTGAATAAAATGCTTGTGGCTGCCTTGTGCATGAGATTTGTTGTTAGGCTATCGGATTGTGAAAAATAAATTATATGAACTGATGGACTTTCCTTCTGTGCACATCTGAGGTTTGATGCATCATAATTATCAGGGTTTTCTGTAGTGCCTCATTGTGTTTTCTACCTCTCTCCATCTCAGCTCACTCCACTGAATTCTGCTCCGCCCTCTTGACTCTAAACTTGGTCCCAGGATTGATCCAACTTCTCCCATTTTCTCAAGGCATTAATACTATGGTTAGTACTATATTTGATATAACTGCTTCTTGTACTATTAAGTCATTGTGGCATATAATAAGAAATCTTGCAGTTTTCTCTTGCATCCTTTTAGATGAAAAAGGTGTTTTTTGATTTTGTGTTTTTGTTGTTTTTTGTTTTTCTTGCTTGTTACACTCAGATTCTCAGGATTCTGGCTAATATTGCCCACAAGAAAAAGGAGTTCTGTGTGCAGCTCATGCAGCTTGGTTTACTGTCTGCACTCTGTGCCACGCTTAAAATGGCTGATCAGGAAATGGTTATTCAGAGCCTGGACATCCTGTTCATGATGACTGTCAGCAGTCCAGTGGTAAGTGTGGTAATTAGTGAAACTAAACTCTGTAATGATTGCTAAGCTGTGGCATGATGTGGTATTCTTCTTCTTCAGGTGGCAGAGGAGTTTGTCAGGCAAGGTGGGCTTTCACTGTTGGAGGTCCTTCAGTACAATGGTGCAGCAGAGATGAGACAAAGGTCGACGTACCTCCTGGAGAAGCACTTGTTGTCCTACCAACAGCATATAACAGTAATTGTTATGCAGCCTTATTGTCTCTGTTGAATTTTTAGTAGTTTTTAGTTAAAAATGTCTGATGTGAGCTGCTGTCTTGCAGGTGGACAATATGCCGGATCCTTGAATCAACAAGAAGACTTTTTGTGTTAGGAGGGCCCAGCTGAGGATAACAACATGTTTACAATTTGATATGATAGATATCAAACTTGTTTGTGTATTTGAAGTAATTAGTGATAAAACTGCTGTCTTGTATGTTTTTACTCATGGAATTTTAATCTCTGCAAATATTAAATATTTTTATAATACTTGTACTGATGAAGTACTTTTGCATAAAACTATATTTATATTCAGATATGGCTTGACATATTTCAAGACGTTAAGATACTGAAGGTGTGTTTGTTTCTGCACACTGAAGGTGGAACATATAACATTAGAAACATAATATGTCTTTATCAATAAGACCTTGTCATCATGCCTGTGCAACGATTAAATAATTATGACATAATAAAACTCTTCCTTACAACAAATATGACTGCTGCTTTTTTTGGGGTATTTGCTGTTTGGTTTGATTTTTATTAAGAAACATTGAGTTGCATTTAATCACAAAAAATCTTGGGACTTTTACATGTGATGCTGATGATTAGTGAGGGCGGCACAGACCGACCCAAAGTGGTGGCACTGCTATATGTATGTACGTTTAAAAAAAATAGTAATAATCAGAAGTTGATCATTGTGATTGCTTCAAACTGCTGTTTAAAGCTGAAACTCGTAGAGATAAAAAATATTCCCAATTAGAAAATAATTTCAATAATGATAAAAAAGACAACATTAATGCAATCTGAATTCCGTAATGTAAATAATTTTTTAAAAAAGCCTCACTTAAAGACTTCAAGTAGGTAAAGTTGTTGTTTTTTTTATGTACACCTGCTTACACTTATAACACAGTCAGTGTGCACAGACCTCATGGAGATTTCACTGACCACACTGTGGAACAGTTTCAGCCTCTAACTTTCAATCAAAGTCTTTGGCTCCTCCCCTTAATGAAAAAAACTGTCTTTCTCTTTCTACCCATAATAATCCCTTCCCGTTATCTTTCACGCTGCTTTTGCTGCATGAAAATCCAAGACGAGGTGAGTAAGAAGGACCATTGGGGCCAAATTAATACAAAACATATATTGTTGAAATTGAGAATAAAATCAAAATTTGGAGATCAAGTTAGATAATGTTGTTTTGAGGATGTAAAAAGTTAAAATACTATTTTGAGGAATAAAATGGAAATGTGGAGATTACAGTTGTTGTTTCATGAAAGACTGCCATATTTGTTGTACCCTTTACAGAATGCCTTGTTTAGATGAGTTAGAAGGACACGTTGTTCTGCCGTGTTTTGATAGAAAACACACAACACGTTCTCACTCCCAAACACCAAACACTTCCCTAGATTACGACATCGGAAAAATTAGGAAACATGAGAACAGTTTGGAATGAATCTACACATGTACGTTTATTTTACTTCAATCGCTTTGGAAAACACTCACTTCTTTAAAGTGGTGGTTAAGGTTCGGGATAAGGTTAGGTCAGGAACGCCTCGGGACTTGACAAATCGTCACGCGTGAGAACGGACTGACATACATCCTCTCTGTTACAAGAGGGCGTAACCACCTTTAGTCTGTCCGTTACCGTCCGTCTAGTATAAAGTTAGTATAAACAGTAAGCTGTCAGTGTAGAGAATAGAAATCACACAAGACAACTCGTGAAACATCTGCTTACATCTGGTTGAATTCAGGTGTACAGAACCACAAAGAGCAGAAGATCAGCTGATCACAACTTGTGCATTAAGAAAATCTTCTGGAAGTCTTAATAGAAATTATTGTGAGCTGTGATTCTTTTCCCCACGCTGAGCCCTTACCCGCTGAAACTCACTTTAACTGTAACTAATTTTTCTGTTTAGAGGCAATGTCACACGCACGAGGTTCAATTAGCTTTGCACAAAAATAATACATACAGATCGTCGGTAGTTTCACTAACTCTGCCAATAATGCAGATCTACTTATAATACAGTAAGTGTGCACAGAGATAATGGGGATTTCATTTTAACTGAGTGGTTTACTCACTACTGTGGAACAGCCTCAGCCTGTAACTTCCAAACAAAGTCTTTAGCTCCGCCACTTAATAAAAAAAGAAGTCTCAAATTGCCACACTTCCTCTTTCCACTCACAACATTCCCTTCCTGTTATCTTTCACTCTGCTTTTTGTGCATGAAAATCTAAGACGGGGTGAGTCACGTTTTCTAAGACTTTTGAAAAATCTTGCATTCATCTGGCTTTTAAATGTTTTCTGCTACTCCACAGATATTCTGCCCCCAACAATCTGTGCTGCTGTGGGGAGACTAAGCATCCAGTTCAATTAAGTCTTGTTCTTTTTGACCCACAGCCAAGCACTGTGTGTAGTTTCCTGAAAATGGAGGGAACTCAAGAACTCAAGACAACGACTAGAGAGGAAGGGACAACAGAAAGAAATGGGGATCAGGGGACTAGCAGCAATGTGCCGATGTCCAGCAAACCTCTGCATCGCTTTGTCCGAAAGGAGCCCAGAAGTCTTGGGGTAACACATCAGATAAGCAAAATCTTAAATAAGCAGATTTATACACGAGGATAGCTATAAGCTGATGCAGCTGTAGACACTCTCATCCATTCTTCCTCTTCCCCTTTCCAGATTGTCATTCTGATGTTTGGCTGTGCTGAGTTGTTAATGGGATTTCAGTTCTCCGGTGAAGAGTTCAAAATCTCTGCTCAACTCTACATTCCCTTTTGGCAGGGAGCTCTGGTACTTACTGTAGCATTTTACTGGCTAGCACTGACATGCTGACAGCTAAAAATGATTGAACCTGACTGGTCATATCTTCTGTGCAGTTATTGTTCAGAAACGTTCAAAGTACTGCCTGTGCTATAAATATGAGGCTACAACTATCGGTTTGTTAGGTTAACAGCACAAGCATGACACACAGTCATAATACCAAAAGGTTTAAAAAATGCATCTGGTACAATTGCAATGCTACGTGTTAACTAGATCTTTCTGATGACAAATAAACATCAGCAAGTATTCATAGTTTCCTACAAAAGATGTATTGTATGAAGACAGACTCACACAGCTTCACACTGTGAAAATATCACCCATATTACTAAATCTACTGTGGGTTAAGGTCAAACAGCATCATTTGTTGTGATTATTTGCTCACTAGTTTCTTACCTGTGGAATCCTGTCAGTCTACACTGAGTTGCATCCGTCCAAGAAGATGGTACGTCATGGTTTTATTTCCTATTTGTGATTTTCAGCCCTGTTTATACTCCTACAGTCCTTCCTAATTCAGTGGCCTAATTAATTTTGATTAACTTATCTTTCCCAGGTGACTGTGTGCTTGGCCCTGTATGTGGTTTCCATCCTTGGAATCGTAATCTCTTTCATACACAGGATAATCCAGCTCATCCATTATCCCTACTTTTTTTTTTTGCGATTTCATTTGAACGATGCAAGTGTGGTGAGTTACAGTACATATCTATTTTTTGATTATGATTGTATGACATGCATGTTTTCACAGCATATCAATAACTCTCGCTTTCTGTCACTATAGATGCTGCTGCAAAGTATCAAAGCCATTTTACTGACCTCCACTATTTGCGTGTTAGTGATTCTCATTTTTCTAACCACTGTCGCAAGTTTCGCACTGAAATCCACACGCACTCAGGTAATAGCATATTTTATTTTATTATTATTGACATACAAGCCTTCTGTCTACTTCAAAGAAACATGCCACAGAGTCCGATTTATCCCAGGGATATCTGCTGAAGGACAGTTTTCAATAGCTTTGGTCACTCATCATTTTATTTTTCTTCCACTTTCATGTTTTGTTTTGTTTTTTCAGGTCATCGTCCAGCAAATTCCACCACCGAGGACTGAAACGCCATCGGACTGAGGACATCTTTTTAAAGTATTATTAAACATTACATGACCTTACTAAAACACACTTGTTGGTCTCTTGTGACACTTGTTCTTAAACTAAAATCATTTATGTCATCTCTGTGAGGAAAAACTATCTTAGAAGAACTTTTTCAGGAAGGCAATAACGACTAATCTGTCTGGCAACCCTTGTGTTTCCCTGCTGCACGTCTGCAAATCTCTTCTCATCGACTGAATGTGTTGACCTCGGCCAGATGTCATACACTATATGTTGGACAACATCTGGGCTACGCAACATTTGTTTGTGACAAGTGTCAAAATTCAGTCCAACCATAAAAGTTTTGATTTGTTTTAAAACATACTTGTTAGAAATTCCTTTTTTATTGTTAATATCTGAACATTTACTTCCTCATCAGACCTTTAGTCATTTGGAAGCCATGTAGAAAATCTATTATGTGTGTCATCTTTTCAGAGATGTCCAAAATTTTCCATCTAATTGTATCTGCATTGTTAACAGTGTCTTATTTGTCTTTGACTATCACTAAACTTGGCTTTGTATTCTGCACTAAATGTTTAAACCTTTGATTTTATCCCCAATCAACATCTCAGGTGCCCCGGTGTTTTCTGTAGTAGCACATTAAACTTTATGTATTAAGAAACAGGAGTAGTTTTTCTAATATATATGTGCAAGGAATTTACTCCATCAGTGGTGGATACAACTCATGAAGACACTGATATCAAAAACATTTTTGGTCTTTTATTTCGGGAGATTTCATTAAGTAGACAAACAGTAGTTGAACATTTTGACAGAAGTCTCCCCCTGGTGTTGGTAGTGCAGGGAGGATGGGCACCCAGCAGGAGATTTTCTTGTAGTTATATTTGGTCCATGTGCAATTCTTGATTTGTTTTTCTTGGTTTAGTGTCACAGTATTTAATATACATAGCTGGCAGTGTACAGAGACTGTGTGGAGGCCTGGGCAGCTGCACCGGTGGGCTTGTACTCTCCTTTGGAAGCCAGGCCATTGATCTGAGGGGAAGAGCAGAGGGGAGGGGAAAAAAAGACAGGACAAAGTCAAATTGGAAAGTTAATGATCAGCCAAGTTACTTGTGTCACATTAGCGCAAGACTAAATAGAACGGGGGAAAAAAAACCAACAACAATCATTTACTAGACAGTGTAAAGTTGGGCAATGCAAGATAAGCATTATTTGACAGCCAGTTCAGTAAACAGTCCTCAGCAAATTGATAACACTGAATCGTTAATAGTGTCTACCGAGGTTCAGTACTACTCATTCACCTTGGCTCTGGTGATGAAAGTTTGCTGTGTGGCTGCCTTGTTTTCAGCTTTGCCCTTCCAGGCAGCAAGAGCGGAAGCCTGGAGTGCACGACCGTAAGAGAAGGTCAGCTTCCAGGGGCGGTGCAGGGGCACCTGATTGATGGCGTTCAGGTTGACAGAGGCCTCCTCTTCACTCTGCCCTCCGGACAGGAAGCAGATGCCTTTAAAGAAACAGAAAAAGAGCGTCATACTCATAATCAAATGAACTGCTGTGCACTTTCCTTAACTGTAATGTAAAAGCTCATGTCCTCATGCCACTTACCAGGCACTGAGGCAGGCACGGTCCGCCTCAGAGCAGTCACTGTAGCCATGGCAACTTCCTGAGGGGTGAACTTCTTAGTGCAGGAGTGTCCAGCAGTGACCATGTTGGGCTTCAGCAGAGTGCCCTCCAGGTACACATGGTGGTCAGACAGAGCCTTGTACACAGCAGCCAGGACCTAAAGATGACCCGGCAGATTTATTACTAGACATCCTTCCCATCTTATGTACTGGGAATATCCTTTGCTGCTGGTGGTCTTGCTTACCTTTTCTGTGGCGTACTGGCAACGCTGAAGGTCATGGTCTCCATCAGGCAGGATCTCTGGCTCCACAATGGGCACAAGGCCATTCTGGTGAATACAAGTTCAAATGAATGACTAGAATTTACCCAATTTGTCAGCCTTTTTTGTAGAGCAATTTGCTATACACGCACCTGTTGGCAGATACTGGCATATCTGGCGAGGACATTGGCGTTCTCTGCAATGGCAAGAGCTGATGGGCAGCCATCTGAGATCTTGAGCACACACCTCCACTTGGCAAAGTCGCAGCCGTCCTTTTTGTACTGGGCACAGCGCTCTGAGAGACCATCAAGACCTAGAGAAGCCAAAGAACATTAGCAACCCCGTCTTTGAAAGGCTTATTCTGCATCATTGTGATGAGATTTGCAGAGAAATGTACAAGGGGTTGAAACTGTATTACCTTGTGTGGTGGTCTCTCCATCTGTTCCCATCAGACCAGCTGTGCCTTTGTCCACCTAAAGCAAGAAAATGCAAATAAGTCAGCAAATTCTAAAAAAATCTTTATCTCTGAGATTCAAAGGGTCCGACCACTGCTTGCTCCTCACCTTGATGCCAACAACAATGCCCTTTTCCTTGACGAGCTGGGGGAACAGCTTGCCACTGTCTGACTTCTGGTAGAGTGTCTCGTGGAAGAAGATGATGCCGCCCACACAGTTTGAGAAGGAGGCATCAGAGGAGAAGAGGATGTCACGGAAGCTGCGGCGGTTCTCCTCGGTGTTCTCCACGTTGATTTTCTGGAGCCGCTTCGCCATGGTGCCTTTAAAGACAAACACATTTTAAGAAAATAATTTCACCTGCATGCACAGCATTTACCTCTCAGCATGGAGTATTAAGTAAAAGGATGGCTCACCTGTTGATTCATCTGCAGCCAGGATTCCCTTTCCTGGAGCCACGATCCTCTGAGCAATGTCAGAGAGCTCCCTCTTCTGCTCCGGAGAAAGGGATGGGAACGGATGAGTCATCCTAAGAGAAATAACAATACAGGTTATTTGGCAGGTGTTCGGAAAGTCTTCAATCATTAGTGGTATGAGGAAGATTTAATCTTGTTTTCCATCTGACACAAAATCCAACAACACTCTGTTCTCCTGCACCACATCCAAGGTTAAAATGTGGCTTGAAGGGTTGAACTTTGGCCTACAAAACATAGCTGCTCCCTTTCATTGTGCAACATGTGTTCAAAGTTCACCCGCAGTTTTGGTCTAGAAGTTTTTGCAATGCTGCAAATAATGCATTAAACAGGCCCATGTCGTAGCCAATAATCAAGAACATCGCTTGCAAATAATAAAGTAAGCGATTGTAAAAGACAGGCTGAACTTAGGCGCTTTTCAAATATTTGCGCAAACCCAAGCATGCGCTCTGACGGCCATCTGCAGAAAACAGGTTTATGTTTGCCAAGCCTTTCAAAGTAAAATAGCCTCTAATGTATACTGCTAAGGAAAGTGAACTTCCTAAATGAACCGTGTACCGTGTGCACACACAAATTATAACATATTAAAACCTGCTACTTCAATCAGTAAACCCGCATAGGCTTACTAATCCAACCAAAAATTCTAGTCTGCAACATATGACAATCTGCAATATCGCAAGTGTGCAAGAGTAAAACAAAACAACTAGTCTTACTTGACAGTTTTGTTAAACAGCGACGACAACCGACGTGGCAGATAAGCCTCAACAGACCCAAAGCAGCAACGACACTGACACACAACCCGAAAAGTGGCTGAAATGGGGCATTTAAAGGCTGTCCGGCTCCACGGAGGAGGAGGTGCTCGTGATGTGGCGGGGCGTGTGTAACCCGGAAAACTGCAATTGGCCCGTTTAGGCCCACACGGGGACGGTCATTTTTTATGACGACTTTGCTACTAATGCACTATGTTCTTATCGGGTAAGTGGAAAACAACAGGGGAGCAATGTGTGTAATAAAAATCGAGGTCTGCATGTATGCACGCACCGGCATGCACTCATCACATGATCAAGAGAGGGGCCCCTCTGTCTCTGCTCACAGAGCTGCACACTGACAGATGCTGGAATGTAATGCGAGCCGCTGGCTGCAATGTTGCATTTCAGGTTTGTTTTTGTATTTCCTGGTGAAAATGTGAGTCGCAAAAGCATTCGATGAACTCTTCAGTTCTTTTTTTGTGTCAAATTTCTACATTTCTGCACGTTTATGTCTGAAGAGAGAGGTGTGTGTGTGTGTGTGTGTCATAAAAGCCACATCTTATATTGTGGAGAGTTTTTATATTATTACACACAGGGACCACTGGTGCACCTCCACGCCCCTTTTCTTTTAATTCTGCTCGATTTATCTCATCGTGTTTTAGTTTGAGGTTTGGAAACAAGTAATATTCAGTTTCTTTCATTAAAAGTCACGTACATGTGCCAAGTGCGTCACAGTGCGTGATAATCACGTCATGGATAGACAGTTTCCTTATCAGCTGCTGAAAGTGTTCCAAAAAGCTTTTGTGTTGGGGGAGTTTCTTGTGACCACCAGGCAATAGGTGACCTCATCAGATAGCAGTATTTGAACTCATGGCTGGAATGGATTTTAAACTCAGGATTAACTACGAGCCAGTTTTTACACAATCCGGACTCTGCACCATGAGCAATTTGCCCTTTGATATCTCTGATCGAGATCATTCTTTGTTCACGAATCCAGTTTTACCTATTATGCACAGGATCATTACATACATGCCTATTTATTATAGATAACACTGCTTATCTCAACAGCGGCATAACATTAATGAAAAATATTGGACAGGAGAAATTACCCTTTGTTTGTTACCCTTTGACTGCTTGGTAATGACTCCAGTATCAATTCTGCTTTAGAAAGACACAGAGCAGTCTCAATGTGTGTTATAACATTTGGGAACTTGTACATTAATGCATGAGTTATGTATTAATAACCATTTGATTGCAGAAATTATTCAGCATGTCTTAGGCTCTTTTTGTTCAGTCAAGCCTCAGAAATCTGGGTGTCTTTTTTGTCTGTTCAGTGTCTCTTGAGCAATCATTCCAAACAGCCGGTTCGGGGCTGTTTTCCTAATTTAAGGAGTATTTCAAAACTCAGACTGCTGGTGTCAAAGGCTTTTATCTCTTCTTATTTGGATTATTTTTATTTTTATTTTAGCTTTTTATTTGTTTTAGCAAATCACCCATTGATCTTTCCCAGACTGTTAAAAATGTTGCACTAAGACTTTTAACTAGCACCAACTAACACTCCCTTTTTGGCTTCTCTTCATTTGTTGCCAGTAAATTGAAGAATTTGTTTGAACATTTTAGTTTGAGCTGCTTCCTGGGATCTTAGGTCATCAGGTCAGAGGTTGTTTCAGACTCCAAGCACTCAATCTGGTTTTTGAGGTATTGAGCACCAAGGTTGTACAATTTTCTTCCATTGTGAGGGTTGCACCCATGAAAAACTTGCCCAGTCTTCTTTGCCAATGCCAAATGGCTTATTCTGTGACCAATACAACCGCATCGGTTGTCTTGCAACAAATGTGCGCAGCCCACATACTCAGCTCTGCTGCTCAACCCACAAATTTGTTTTCCTTACAGATTCATGACCCTTTGTAGGGAATTAAACTTTCCAAGAGTATAAGATTTATTGCCAAGAAGCATTGTTACAAAAATAAATAATTAAACACCTTCCCCTACCTTTTGTAGTAAGATTGTCTCACACCATCCCTTCTATGACACCAACCTTCTCCTTACAGCCATGAATGTTCTCCATGGTCTTCTTCTTTCCCTCCTCCCTGACAACTCCATCTTCAACATCCTTTGTCCAGTATGTCCACTATCCCTCTTCTCTGCATGTCCAAACCATCCACCAGCCATGCCTCTCTACATTCGTCTCGAAACTGCGCAACCTGAGCCCTCGCTTTAATTTCTCCATCCATGCTTTTGTTTTTTCCTCCATCTCATTAAAAATCTGAACATCTTCAACTCATTTTCAACTCTCCAGCTCAGCCTCCTGTCTTTTCTGTCAGGTCCATCATCTCCAAACCATACATCATGGCAAGCTCATCACTATCTCGTAAATGTTCCCTTTCACTCTCGCTGCTATTAAATTTGCTCGTGAAATTAAACATTTCGAATGGATTTTAATCAGATCAAATCAGTTAATAGTGATTGGCTTACGGGCAATCGTGCAACATGTATGACTTTTTTTTTTGATAATTTTTGACTATAGAGTCAGAGTCAGACAGTCTACAAGTGTGGTGAAGGAGATATTGCAGATTTACAAGATGATGCTATCCTGTATGGTTTGAAGTTGAAGGCACTAACAAAAATAAAGGAGGCCAAGCTGAAGATCTTACAATTCCCTTTGGGAGTCACCAGGAGGACCAACATTAGAAACGAGTGTATCAGAGGGAGAAAGGGACAGTCAAGATTGAGCAGTTTGGACATGTGCATCTTATTGGACAAAAGATGCTTAATATGGAGTTGCCAGGCAGAATGATAAGAGGGGAGACTACAGAGAGGATTAATGGATGTAGTGAAGGAGGACATGCAGATGCTTGGTGTGGCAGAAGAGGTTGCTAGGTATAGGGTGAGATAGTGGTGTTGGGTGACTCTAACGGGTGGACTCAGTAGCAAAAACACACACATGCTCGGGGGTTGTGCTGAATGCTGTTTTATTTACAGTTATAGGGGATATTTATAAGGGAAGGGGCTATTTACAGTGATCGGGTAAACGTGCGAGGACCGAGAGGGAATGAAACAGAGCCGAGGCACGCAGGAGGATGGGTGGCGTACTGGAGTGACTTGATACACAGAAAATACAGACGCGGGCGGTGATCACAGTCAGAGGCGAGGTAAATCTCCGTCATAGATCCGGGAAGACAAACTCCAAAAGAACAGGGCCCGTATCCCTAAAGCTTCTGAGAATCCTCTCAGAGAGCTCCTAACTTAACTTAAAAATTCCTTGCCAGGAGTTTTAGCTTAGAAGTGATTCCAGAACATTTTCAGTGAACTCTGAGCAAGGAATGGATGGAAAATCCTATCTTAGTGAGGAGGTGTGGTTGACCCCGTTGCTAGGTATGAGTCATCATTTCAAAAGCCGTGATTGATTGATCCTACAAGTTTGATGGAAATGAGCTTTTGGTGATAATAAGCAAAGGATGTACCCTCAAATTATACACTCTAATCTTATGCTGACTGTAATTGTAAATAATATTCCACATTCAAGAAAATATCTGGAAAATGAATAGTAAGCTGTAGGGGTTATAGCCTAACATTAGAATCTAAAATATGTGAAAACTTAAACTCATTACACCCTGTTCAAATAATGATTTGTGTCTTATTTGCTCATATTAATATCCTAGCTGGCATATTTTGTACTTTCACTCCCATATGGACCCCATTGAAAACAAGATGGCCTATCTCAAGGGGCTGTCCTTAATGAAGTAGAAATCACAATGTTACAAGTCCAGTGTGGTCTTATTGAGGGTAACACGGCTCAGCTTTTATCAATGTCTGTGATTGCTGGCTGGTCTATTTATAAAGGCTTGTTAACAAATATCCTACAAACACAGAAAACGGAGGGGAAAAAAAAAAGGACTCGCAAACTGGACTGAGGAGCAAGGTTTGTTGCTGGCCCAGTTGGTGAACGAACATAAAGGTATGTTACGAGGAAAATTTGGCCCAACTGTCACTAGCCAAGGCAAGAGGCGCGCCTGGGACACAATATCCCAAACAATCAATGCCTCTTTTCCACTGGTGGTGCGGACAGGCGACGATTGTGAGAAAAGGTGGTATGTGCTGCAGTCCAAGGCAAAAGATGAGATTGCAGCACACAAGCGGGAATCCTCACTCACAGGTGAGCAAAATATTATAGCCTACCACATAATCTGGCAACTTGCTCCTGCTGGCAAAGTTAATTTACATGCCTAAGTACTGTGTTCATTTACTGTTTCTTTCTAGGGGGTGGACCACCTGCAAAGCGGCTGTCCCAGGTGGCCGACACTGTCTTTCAAGTCCTGGGACACTCTGAGGTCAGTGTCACCGGGCTGCCAACAGGCATTGACACATCAATGATGCAGGCCCTTGAAGTGCAGCAAAGGTAGGACACAGGGTTATTCATATCTACAGTGTTTATTCATTGCAGAAGCCATTTCATGTGTTATCCATGCTCATTGTATTAAATTAATTTAATCAAAACAATAATTAAACTAGGACTATGTATTTCTGTAGCATGGAGCCATCACAAGAACCGGGCCCATCAAGTTTGCCGATGAGATTGCCGCCTGAACCATCTGCAGCTGCTACTCAGGATAGCCCAGCGGATCAAACACCATTCCCATCCGCAGCACCTGCTCCGTCAGCATCCCTGCAGGAGAGCAGATTGCAACTCACAATTGATGTGTTTGAACAACAAAAAAGTCCTTTCCCTTCAGGAGGAGTAGTACCGCCTTAAAATTGAACGCCTAAAAAATAAACCATTTACAGATGGTGTTCTGTGTCTTGCATTTAACAATTGCAGGTGATGTGCAGTAAAACTGTGGTAGTTCTTAATACCATCACAAGTTCTCAAAAGACATGGGGCTACAGCTTGCCTGAAATGTAAATTTGTGAAGTTTGCCCTGTAAGGCAGTCCACTCTGGGCTAGGTTCCCCTGTGGAATGTAAATATCTTCTTCACCACCATCCTCATCGTTGTCTTCATCCTCATTGCCATCCTCCAGAGGTTCTGCAATCTGTCTAACCTTGCAAATATTGTGTAATATTGCACAGGCTATGATGACTTTGCTGACTTTTTCAGGCCTCAGCCGCACCTCTCCGTGGAGAACATGAAAGCGCCTCTTAAGCTGGCCTATGCCACGCTCCACCACTGCTCTTGTTGTCTTGTGGGCCCTACAATAGAATACAGAGACCTTTAATTATTTGATGGAAATATTGCACTACTTGGATGCTCTAACATATTG